CTGTGACTGTGGTCTCAGCACTCTGCTGCCCATCCCATTCCATTCCATCCTGTCCCATCCCACCAGCCTGGCAATGGTCGCAGTAGAGGGGTCAAAAGTGGGGCATGGGGCCAGGGTGACACAGATGGATTCTGCTGGAGCATCACTTGCTGTAGGGCTGGGAAAACAACCACATCAGAGCTGCTGAACAGCCACAGGTCATAAAAGCATCCTTGCCCCTGGACACTGCCAGGAGGGCCCAGGTTGAACTCTGGAGCAGGGGAGCTCCAGCTAATTAGTCATTAGTTGCTTCAGAGGGGAAACGAGCCTCTGTATGCCTGCAGCAGAGTGACCTGTGGGCCTTGGGACACAGCCAGGCTGCACATCACTGAGAAATGACTGAGGGTTCATCTCCCACAGCAGAGCTGTAGAAGCAGCCCAGCACAGCGGGTGTCCACCTCCCCAGCCCCTTCCTGCCCCCACGGGACTCCTGGGAGCTCCCAGCCTCTGGCAGCAGCCTGGAAAGCCTCTGAGCTGCCCTGCAGTGAGCAGCAAGCCCGACTCATTTAATCTATTCGATTGGATTCAACTTCCAGCCACATGATTCAATTAGCCCTGGAGGGACAGCACGGAGAGCAGAGGCTGCAGAGCACGGCCCAGTCTATGCTCCAGCAGCTACCAAGCTGGGAAAGGGTGGCACAGTGTGGAGCCACAGCAGCAGGACCTTGTACTTGTCCTGGCCCTCTGGGGTGTGCTGGGGTGATGGGGGCTGCAAGAAAACCCTCTTCTGTCCAGGAGAGGCAGGGGCTCATCTGGGCACAAGCTGCTGGTCCTGAGTGATGTGTGAGTAGCTGTAGGGCAGAGTCTGGTGGAGCCCTGTCCCGAGCATTTACCTTTGCAGTCAGTCAAAACCCAGAGAGGTGACAGCCACTCTGGATCAGATCTGAGGTCTGCATCCCTGAGCACCTGGCAGGGTGGCCTAAAGAAGCTTTAGAAAGACAACAGGAGCATTCAGTGATGCTCCCCCGAGGGTGCTGCCTGTCAGATATATTTGGGATCACCCCTCTGCTGTTGCACTGAGCTCAACTACACTGTACTCAGATGGAGGAGAACCAGGTCTCTGACCAGCAGAAGGACTCTCAGCAGCCCCAGGGCCCTCCAGGTCCCACAGACATTGCAGTAGCCCTTCTCCAGACTTCTGGCCTGGACTTCCATTCATCACTTACTTCTCTGTCTGAAAGTATCAGTAAAGGCATCAGTAAGTTCCCACCAGGGGAAAAACACATCTTATCCTGGTCCCTTCGGATTTCTACACCTCCCAAAGCTGGGCTTTACTTCTTTCCTTTCAGGTTACTGCAATAGTTCATCTCCCAAAAAAACCCATCACCTCCACAGGGACACACTCCCATCCAGCACAACCCTGCTAATCCCAACAAGTAACAGAGACCAACAGGAGATGAGAACAGATATCCATAAGGCATTGGTGCTGACACCAAGATGGAGAGCTGCTTTCCAGTGCCAAGAGCCAGCTGTAAATCTTACCACAGACTGCTGGCCACACACCAGTCCCAACAGACATGATGGCACTTGTGACTTGGCAAGGGTAATAGCAACTCCCCCTGCCTGCCCTGTACCGAGCTGGGAAAGACAGCAGCTCCACCCTGGGAGGGAAGTGTGGGGAAGCAAGTGGAGCACACTGGGGCTGATGCCCTGTGTAAGTGCTGTCTAGGCAATAGCTCTCTCCAGGAATTCTCCTCCTGATACCGACCAGGCAACAGTCTGGCAGGACCCCAGAGCAGGGAGCATCCAATTCTTCAAACAGGGAGAGAAAAGCACCCCAACAGGCACCAGGACTCACATGGATGGCAGCTCAGTCCTGCAGAGGTATGGTCCCTGTGCCATGCAAAGGAAGACAAAGAGGTTTGCAAACCAAACAGAGCAGGTGGGTGAAGTTGCACCTCTGTGAACAACAGAGGGTGTACAACACCCTCTGGCTGTTGTACACGATCATGGGTTTGGTACTACCTGCTCCTGGCACTCCCAAGGAGCAAACAAAACATAACATGAAGCCGACAGCCCATTCAGGGAAGACTCAGCTCCTGAGGAGCTGCCTCTCTCGAGTCTGCATGAAAAGTGGGACCTGTAAGAGCAAAGGAAGAGACCAAAAATCACAGTGGCACTTACAAACCAGTTTTTAGTAACTCCCTCCAAAATTTAGCTCAAATTCAATTCTTCTCTTCCAGAATTTGGTCATTATTTTGTAGAATATTTGTCTCCCTGCAGCAGCTGCCTAATTTAAAGGCTGCAATCTGATATCTCCCAACACTTCCCAAGCCTCAGACACAGATCTTCCAATAACAGATTGAGTTATGAATTAGATGTAACAAAATACACTCATCTGCTCAGATCAGATACAGGAAAGTTTGAGGCCATCAGCCACATCCTGATGCTGAACGTTAGAGTTAAATGACTCTCTGCTCAGCTCAAGCTGGCCTCAAAACACAAGTAGCAGCAGGGTGTTTAACAAAGCAGGCAAATGTGCGGCAGAATCTGTGAGCAGGAGTTTGCTGACACCAGCAGCAGAGAGCATCACACTGTGCACAGACAGGTCCCTGCATCCCTTGCTCACAGGCTCTCAGCCTTGCTCATGTTTTCCTTACTGGTAGCCCCAGGCACACATAAGAGGAATAGGGATGCTTACTACTGCCTGGTACCTACAGCCAGGACCAAGGATGCAGCACAGCTGTGTGGCACCACAACCTCCCCCTGCACAGGCAGGAAGAGCCCAAAGGCAGGTGACAGCCCTGCTGCAGCCAGTGTGCCACCAAATGGTGACAGGGCCACCCCCACAACTACCCCACTCTCACCCCTGCGAAGGACAAACATTGCACACTCTGGACAGCCAGGGCTCTGCTATTTATTGAGCTCTAGGTTTGTATGTACATCCATTTACAGTGCTTGGTTTCGTGACAGCATGGCAAGAGGATGTGTGTCACAGTCTTCCCCAGCTTAGAGACTTGGATGAGGGCTGAGCTCAGGAGCAGATCTCAGTCACAGCCTGGGCTTCTATAATCATCCCAACAAGGAAGCGTCCTGAGGGAGACAAGACTTTTAATAGCTGAGCCCAGACTGAGAAGCTAAAAATTCCAGAGGTTGCCAAGGCAAAAGCAGACTCATCCCAAACTCTCTCAAGCATCTGACTAGGCTCAGCCTAACTGGGATCAGAGAACAGGAGGCATGTAGACAGCTAGATGACTCAATGCTCCGACAGTCGCGATGCTGGGGCTGCACCTCCAGTCCCCCTGAGAAGGAACTCCCACCCTCAGAGGTGAGATCCCCCACATGCAGACAGATAAGCATCATGTGCTGCAAACAACTGTTACTCATTTTTCACTGGAGAAGCTGCCTCCTCTACATGCCCTGGCCTGTTCTCAAGCAGTGATTTTATGGAGCCTGCTTGCTCTCCCAAGCAATGTCCCTCTGACATGTACACATTTCCACACACTCGCATGGCAGAAAGCAAATAAGTGTCTGGCTTAGCTGTTAAAAGCCAGACGATTCCCTGCTGAGGCATAGTATCTTCTGCTGAGAGAAGCCAGTGCTCCCAAGAAAAATATAGGGACTTCATAGGGTGTCATGCCCAGTGGGTGGTCAAGGACACAGCTTTCAGTTACCCATACTCATTGCAGGTAAAGATGAAACATTAACACAATTAACGCACATTAGTGTGAATAAGCCTTGCCTAAAAATGGTAGTAAATGAGCATGACATCCACATTACTCACACTAACCTACAAGGCTAAGAGCAGGACTAGGCACTTTTTAAAAAAAAAACCCCTGTTTTCTAGAGGGAGAAAAAAAAAAAGTGGATCTGGGACATAAATAACTTCTCTGCTTCAGTCCACCAAGTCAGGCCAGATTCTAACAGCACTGCCGGGAGCAGAAAACACACAAGCAAGGAACAGGTGTATGTGCTGTGTATTCCTGAGCTAGAAGCCTGACACAGCACTCTAAACAGGTTCTGCCAGGCCTAAGCACCTCTGAAACACCGGCTCTGGAGCAGAAAGGTCTGGTGTGCCCCACAGGATCATCCCAGAGCTCTTCCTTAGGAAGTCCTCAGCAGACCATGGCTGTAATTCGCTTGGTGAAGACAGGAGGGTAAGTGAGAAAGCGAAGTTACTACTTCTCCAGCTGCATTTTAACTGTGTGCTACACACAAGGGAAGAAATGGGGACTTCTTCGTTCATGAAGGTCACCAGGTACCTGCAAACATGTGCAAGGCAGACGTTCCTGTGAGGGAGAGGAGGATTGTCGCAATGCGGTCTCTGATGGGCAATAAGGTGAGTGGGGAGAAGGAGTCAGCCTGTCCTCTGCCCCATGAAAACCAAGTACCTAAAAATGTCCCTCAACCTTGGAAACAGCAGATGAGCTGGGACTACTGGAAGCAACGGTGACCCCAAGCAGAGCTGGTTCCAGTAACAAAGTGCTCTGTTTGATGACCCATGTTCTTGCATATTGGCTCAGCCTGGACCGCGTAAGCCAACAGCCTTGGAGGCAAACTTTCTCCTGTTCCAGTAATCCGATGGCTTGGTTGAAGTGACACCTTCTGACATCAGGAGTCAGGAGTGAGCAGGGCCTGCTCCTTGGGGAAATTTTTATACTCCAAAGCCATTGCCAACGGGATGGTAGCAGATTTGACTTACATTATGGGAGGGCAGTTGATTACATCATTACAGCTGATTCAGGCTGATGGAAAAGAACAGCCCACACCTGGGATCAGAGAGCTTTCCCCATAGAGCAGGTGAGCGATCTCAACCCAGAACAGTTTCACACAGCTAGGCTGGTTTTATTATTTTGGTTGTGAGCTCTCCCCAGCTCTGCTACAAAGGTTTCCAGTGCATCTTCCCTGAGCCTGTGGAGGGAATCTCCCATTGCTATGTCACAGGAACGGCTCCCCACTCCCATGTCACCTTAAAAAATTGCTTCCTGCTCAACATGCCAATCACCACTCCTCAGCCCAAGTTCTGTTGAAACACATTCCATTGGGATCAAACACACAGCAGCAAGGCTTTCTCCTAAAAGAAACACAATCCCTTCTGCAGGCGGAAGGCAGGGGGTGACTGGCTGCAGAGCTGTAGTGTCCCTGCCCACACAGGCCCATCTCTGCCCGGCGCAGCGGCAGCATCCCCGCCTCAGGAGATTGTAGAGAATTCCTTCAGCAGCAGTTCCTGGCTCAGTGTGTTGAAAGCAAGGTTCTTCCTCACATTGATGCTGATGGACCGAACCTGACAGAAACAAAACAAGATGTTTTAGCCAAGGGACTCCTCCTGGCTCCTCATGAGCCTGGCAGTTTTGAAACCAGTGACCTCCATGCTCAGCATGAAACTGTTCTGCACAGTTACAGCTCCACAGAACTTGCTGCAGTAAGCTCTCGCTGAGACTCCAGGTTAGCAAGAAAACACTGAGATTCAGCAGTTTCCTGAAATAATAGGAATGTCTACAGTGACATCTCAGAAAGAAGAGTAAATTCCCAGTGAGACAGGGGTGGGAGAGGATGCTCCGTTTGGATGCATGAGCTATGATGTGTTTCCTGGTCTGGGGCAGAGATGAGGAAAGTAAGCACTTCCATGTTGCAGCTGGAAGATCATACTGTATCAGTGCCCACTGGAGTGCCAGCCAGCATTTTCCTGGATTAATGCGGTGCCATGGCCTCTTTCCTGCTCCAGAACCCAGAGCCAAAGATACAGACTCAAGGAAAGTTCAGAGGCCATGCCACTAAGCTGAATACACAGATTATCACCCAAGCTGGCAGAAAACCCTGGGTTCAGAGCCAGCTGTGTGTACTCTGAGTGAGTGCCTTACACTTGCAGCTGGCTCACTGACTGTCTCTGAAGAAGAGACACCTTTATCCCTCAACGACACCCAGACTTCTGGTCACCCACAGAGCACAAAGAAGAGCTGGGCAGCCCTGTTGCGCAGCCGCTTCCCTTCCCCCTTCGTGCCTGCAGACTCCTTGGCCGAGCACACAGGCCCCAGACTGGGCTCAGTCTCAGCTGCACTTGGCAACGAGAAAACAAAGTCAAACATCATCTGTGTCAGCGACTGTGCAGCAGTGACAGAAAACAAAACTGACACAAGCTCATCCAAACAACGGGATTACAGTTCCCAGAGACTCAGAGCCTGTGATAATAAGGTTGTTGCTGACCTGGTTAGTGTTTTGTGCTTTTTAAAAGCACTGGGGGAAGAATTACAGAGAAGCAGAATGAGGAATCCAACACTGGGGACAGAAAACCACATAAATATACATATATATATATATACACACACACACACACAAATATACTGGTGAGGGTCCCACTTGCTGCCCTGGTAAGAAAAAAAGAAGGGAAGGGCAGAAAGCTCCCCAAAAGGCAAACGTGTAAGACAGGGAAGGAAATCAAAACATGGAAGGTTAACAGGGAAAGCTATAAAATGAATGCCAGTGAGCCCCATTGCATAGATCCTAACAACCTGAGCATGCCAGCAAAGATGTCTACGCTTAAAGACAGAGTATTTAAGTTTCATGTCATCTGCAGAAGCCACAAACTCTCCTTCATCAGGATGCTTGGCACAGACCCCATCTGTTTGTTCCTTGGAGCACCCCCTTCTCATCTCTCTTCTCTAGGTGCCTTTTGACTTACTCCATCCTGAATCAGTTTGGGATCATGTCTTTCAAGATAACCACAGGTTACGGCCTATGTTAACCACTGCAAGTGGTCTCCAAAACACTATTTTGCACTGGGCTGTCTTGCTGCCAGAAGACAGGAGTCTCACTGACAGGATTTGGTCCCAGTCCTACCAAGTGCTCCCACCTCAGGGATTCAGTCAGTTCTCACCAGAGGGAAAGAACATGGCTAACCAGATTCAGAGAGTCCTCTGCCCTGGGGATCATAACTGCCTGCAGAAAAAGGGTAGGTGTTACATGTAGTGTAAACCTTATTCTGACCAGAAGCATTTCTATGGGTCTCAGCAACATAAAGAACAAGCAGGAATGTGACCCTGGCCTCAGGAACTGCTGCCAGGGGCAGGTACCAGCAGCAGAAGATTCCCAGCTTGTATACACATCAAGTTCTCCAAGAAGGATGTGCAAAAGTCTCTGCAAGCCCAGGAAGGAAGGCTGGAGTAGCACGATGAGAACACAGGGCTTAGCAGAAATTGTAGCTATGGAGTGGAGCACAAGAAATTAATTAGCCTGATTAGTTTGCAAAGAGAAGGAGGAATAGAGCAAACACTCTCCAATATGTAAAACAAGGTCAGAAAGAGAACAGTGAGTAATATTTATCTGGCTCCCTGGGGATGGGGGAAGAAATACTTAGCCTAATTTAAGACAAAGAAGATTTACACAGGAAAAGAGGAAATACTTCCAAACCTATAGTTTGTGAAGGAGTGGAATAGCTCACCTGTGGCTACTGTGAAGCTGTTTTCACTTAAAGACAGCTTTGGGTTTCAAGAGGAGTTTTAGACATAGACTTTGGTCAAGAGCAGTCTAGCTGGACTTAGACCTGCTTTTACACAAGTTGAGGAGAAAAGTGGCCATGATAACAACACACAAGACTGATGTTTCTACAAATCTCTGTCCAGTATTTCTTCTGCTGTGAGAAATCAGGCAGCCCTGAGCCAACCCACTTAAATGGTAAGAATAGCTCAAATCAGAGTTAAATCAAGTTATCTCCACCACCAGGATTCAGCACAGGGAGCCAGAGCTCATTTCCCTTTTGGGGTTGGAAGACCAGACAGTGACACAGGGAGGTATCAGCCTGTAACAAGGATAAACTTTAGTAGCTTCCTGTAGTCTAGCTGAGCTGTTTCATTCACGAGGCTACACTCCAGGACTCCTCCTAGCCCACTGGTGCACCAGGCAGTCCAGGCCTGGCTGCCAGACTGAAAGCTACCAGATCTCTCCAGGGTAACTTACACAAGTGCCCCAAAACCACAGAAAGTAAGGTCAGAGCTTTAATATTCATTCTGCAGGGACGTAAAAGCAGATTACATGTCCTCTCTTGCTTCTGTATGGAGCACTAGGGCCAGAAGAGCTTTTAAAATTGTTTTCTCCCTATTAGCCCACAACCTTTGAAGAAATGGGAAATGCATGAAATGCTGACATCATTTGGAAGATGATGAGGGAATGAAGGAATGGATGAAGCGATGGCATTAACCATGTGAGGAAAACAGGATTCAGTTCTAGTTTTGTGTCATTATAGCTGGATGTGTGCAAAGCTGCACAGACACTCCTATTTCGCAGCAAGTCTCATCAATTAAACCTGTTTCTAATCAACAAGCAGCTCTTAAGATATTTGTACAATGGGAGGAAGGTTTACACTGACTGCTACATCTAATTAAAAGTCAAATTAATGTAATTTCCCCAGCAGAAATCAATCCCTAATCAGACTATACTGAAGTGACAATGAGACTCTACTGAAATCTATCCAACTGCAAAGACAGGGAACTGCAAAGACAGGGAACTGCAAAGACAGGGAACTGCAAAGACAGGGAAAGACGCTGAATCTCTTTGCACACATTTCTTCAGTTGCAATCATAGATGCAAGGGTCCAAAGGCTCACATCCAAACCATTCATTCTATCAAAGCATCACAGACCTCAAATGACATCCCTGAGGCTTCAAAGGAAAAAGATATAAAAAGTGTTAGAAAACTTCCTAACTTCCTTCCTTTAGCCCCTCAAAGGCAGCACAACAGGCCATAAAACCCAGTTGATAAAACAATCTGCACATCACCTTCCACCACAATGTGGCTGCAGTATCGCAGCCTTTGAAAGCTTCTTTGTAAAGGGAATGGGAGAAGAAAGCAGATTTTTCTTTGGGATTAGCAAGAAAGAGCAGCACTGAGGCAAAGCCAGAGAAGCAAAGCAGTGCATTAGCAAAGCAGGTCAAAGGAGTGAGAACGAGATTTCTAAGCATAAAGGAGCCCAGAGAATGGCATGGGGAAGCTTCTGCTCACTCACTTAATGGGAGCACAGAGAGATGAAAAGGTAGCTGAAAAGGAAAATGACTCCTGCATGTCATTCCCTACCCAAGAAGGGTTTGCTTTAATGCAATCACATAGATAGTGATAAGAAAACCAGGTAGAATCTGGAAAGAATTATTTGCAAACAGATCCTGTTCAGGAAGACCTGATGGGACAAGCATGACCCTGGAAACCATAATGGAAATCTTTAGTTCACTATCAGCCCTGCTTATTTAGCACAGTCCACAAAGAACTACAGCAACTTCCCTCTGCCCCCTTCATGAAATCTCTCAAACCTCAGTAGTTAAACACAAATCATTGCATAGCAGGGCATTATCCAACATCAGACCAGCTACAGAAGCCAAGGTAAAGACTCCAAAGCTTCACAAAAAGGAAGCAAAGTACCTGGTTTGAAGAGGCTATGGGGAGGACATGGCAAATTAGGACCTTTCTGATGAGTTATTTGAACAGTTAATAAAGCCATCGGTTACTGTGCACCTAGAGAAAAACAGAGCAAGAAGGCCAGGAGGCCAGCTGGGTTTGCTGAAGACAAATCATAACATATCAGGTTGACTTCCTGCTGTGTTGAGGGAATGGCTTAATGGAATGCAGGGGATTTTCTGTAGCTGTGAGTAAAGAACGTTTAATAGGGTCCCAATTCTCAGGGCATCTAGAGATGTGGATTAAACAGATTCACAACTGGGTCAAATCAGCACATTTATACAGTAATTATTCAGGCTTTAATATGCTCTTGAGGAGATGGTCCCAGGGGTACGTGGACGGGTAATTTCAGAAGGGAGTTGACAGGCTGGTTACGCTAAACCTATTCTTAAATGATACAAAATTGGGATTTCGAGAAAAAAGAATCAGTCTAGGAAGAAAATAATTTTAGCTGAAGTGTTTTGTGGCTGTGATGATCATAGGACTGAGAATGTCATTTTAATCAATTGGCATGATCAGCCTGAGCTTCTGCCAGGCCAAGTGGAAAGTGGGGCATGCAGGAAGCAGAGCAGTCATGTGGCCAAGAGGCTGGGGAAAGAGATGCTGGCTGAGGATGGGAGCCCTTGGGACAGAACAGATGACAACAGAAACAGGAATGTGCCTTATTTCCACAGTACAGTAATAAAGGAAGCCTGTGTCACAATAAGGCTATGGCCAAATTTCTTTGCATGTGTTCCAGAAAAGGTTTTAAACAGCAAGCTAGAGACAAAAACAGGCACAAAAGAACACAGAAGAATGGCATGGAAGTGATTGCAAGCGGTTTTGCCCATATACTACCCAATGTCTGGAATGGCCCCAAAAGCATTCCATACAAGGAAACAAAACCAATTCAGGTGCTTGCTCTGGAGCAGAGTAGACAGAGGGATGCACAGTATTCCCAAACTAATGCAGACTCGTGATGGAGTGGGCAGGCATCAATTACTCATCAATCAGGAAGGACAGAACTCGGAGAGAGAATCAGCTCTCAAACTGGTGGAGAAAGCTGCCACAGTTAGAGATCTCTCCCTTCGCTGAAGCTGTAATGATTCCAGAGTGAGGAAAAACAGGCTCCCCTCAGATACCAGACATTACAAAAACTTTGCCTCCCTGTTGATGTGGCTCTTGGACAAGAAAAGTTGCATGAGGGCTCTCCGGAGCAGGGGAAGCAAGCCAGCTTGCTGAAGAATATAACTACAAACCCAAATTATTTGGACTCAGTTTTGTCTTTGCTCTATTACTTTTGTGGGATTTCCTACCATCAGTGTTCTCCTCTTGCAGAAGGAGACATTTTTAGGGAATTTCTTCACTATCTTTGCTTGGGAACCCTATTTTGTGAGTGATGGAGGAAAGAAACGAGCAGGAACGTGTTTCACCAGCATCACATACTCTGCTCAGTCCCATACTTTGTGCTCTCCTTAACAACAGCAAAAAAGCGAAGTTGCTCTGTGTGATAAACCCAAAGTGGGAGCAGTCAGCTTCTCCCCATGCAAATTTACCACTACAAAACACAGAGGATTGCCATGGCAAAAGGGACAGACACTGATCAACCAGTGCTGGCCTAAGCAGCCTGGAGGTTCCTCTTCAGCCACACAGGGAGCTCCAGGAAGCTCTCAGATCTGTCGAGATACACAGTGTCTGTCTGGATCCTACTCCTGCCCTATCTTTTGAGGCAGCCCAATGAAGTGACAAGGCTGCTCAGCTATACCCCAAATGCCACTGCCCAGGCCATAAGCAAAGGGTCTGAAAGAAGGTTGTTGATTCTGCAGAGTCAAGTCAGCTTACCAGCTCTTTGAAGAAGGCAGCCTCTTTATGCTGCTCTGAGTAGCGCTCATACTGGTCCAGTCCGTCCTGCAGTTTCAGGGTCAGCGTGTCGTAGTTGGACCGCACCACTTCCAAAACCTGCCAAAGACAGCCAAATACAACAGAAGAGTCAACATCCACAGATACCTCACCACAGGAGGAGTAAAGCTGACACAGATCACAGCTCTGGCACCTATGTTGGTTTTGCACCATAGATGGCTTTCACAGCCAATGTTTGGCTTGTAATTGACAACACAGAGATGAGCACTGAATGTTTCCTAATGCCAGTAAGGAAGAGTCCTCAAATTTGTGGAATTTCTTCATTCATGAGAATAGTGCATGGAGCCTGTATGTATGACAGCAGCAGTTTTCTGTCACCAGAAGTAGGCATGATCTCAATAAATTATGCAGCTAATTACCCCATTAACACAAATATACAACACAGTAGGCACTATACACACACGGATTCGACTGACCCCATGGTCCTTTCAGGGCTAGTTTTGCCAGCACACCTCCCTCCTGGCTTGGGAATCACCATTCACCACCTGCTAAACCACCAGCTTCTACAGCTGCTCAGGTCAGCTTCCAGAACACTGCACCTCTCTCCTGATGGGAACAAGCTTCTGATAGGCACTAAGAGAAGACCAACCCTGGTATGGACTCTGGTTTTAGAAAGAGATGAAGACACAAATCTAGGTCTTCCTGCCCAGGAGATACTTTACTATCTGCCTTCACTGCAACAGAAGCACTATAGTTTTATTACTGCCCTACTCTGCTCCCAGCACTAGGCTATACTTGCAAATTCATAGCTACACATCTCTGTCCTATTGAACTATTCATTTTCCTAGCTAGGGAACACCAAGAGGGACTCCCACAATGATTTTTAGCTTCAAAGCATTGCATGGACTAACATATTCCTCAAAGCATTTGTGAGATGGTTAGTAACAATAATGTTCCTAGAAGGAAACATAGAGCTCAGCACTCCTGGGCAAACATGCTTGAAACAATTTTCTTAAAGACATGAACTTCTTTCTAGGCTGTTACTATTTGCTCTGAGAGTTAAACAGAATATCAGCATCTGAGGCATGCAATACAGTAGCCCCCACTTATGACAAGGCTCAGCCAGCAGGACACATGATAAGGTGCAAAGGAAAAGGACTCTGCTCCAAGGTATCACAACTAAGAATAGATCCTAAGAAGAGCATTGCAGAGGATTTAAGACAGCAGTGACTAGAACAATGAAGAGCCCTTTTACTTCTTCTTTTGTCCTCTCAACAATGTAAACACTACCTTTAACTGTCCCTTTAGGCAGCTGGCAGCTCCTGCCCCTTTACAGGACTAAATCCGGTCCTTACACCCCTTATGCCAGGAAACTTGGACTTGCTTAGGGTTCCTTCAAAAGCTTGTGTCCTCCAAACTCTGCATGGGGCAGTGGTCCACAGAGACATTCATGCTAGAGCCTGAGGTGATAGAAGCCACAGGGCATCACCTAATCAAGGATTAGGGGCAAAGAAAGGGTCCCAAAAGCAGTTCCCAGGTGAGATGGTCATACAGCAGTCACTGTGCAGCTCAGCTGTCATCCAGCACTGCACAGACAAAGTGGGGTAGGAATAAGCATTTGGACTCAGTCTCAGAGGTCTTTTCCAACCTAATTGATTTTAATTCTGATTCTAATTCTGCAATGTTACTTAAGAACAGCCTGTCAGTGTCCTGCTGTTGTGAAAGCACACAGCCTCCTCTCCAGGATTCATTTCCTAATGCTGTTTGTCAGCTCCACTGGCTGAAAGAGAAAGAACCCTCTGCAATGACAGCCGCCTCCAAATTCAGCCTGCCCTTCTTGTCCCTATGTGCCAAAGCTGCAAGAAGTATCACAGAGCTAAAAGCAGTGATGAAAGAAAGCCACCAGGGCACAGGAATAACTATCCACTAGGGACAGAGCACGGTAGTATAATGCACCTTCTTCTGAGCAATAAAGAATCCAGCATCTTGCTCCTGTCAATCGGAGGAAGCCAAATTGACCAAGATTAATAAGCTGCAGGGGAAAAACCTTGTTTGAAAGGTGAGTAATCAAACAGGCTTCTCCAGCAGTAACTCAGGGTGAAGACATTTTACTCAGGGCTACCCCACTTCCCAGGAACCTTCCCCTGAGCTCCTCTTCCCTCTCCCTGTGTCCCCTTATGCAGGGCCATGCACAGTGCCATACAGATGTGCCCAGACAATAGATGGACATGCTTCTCCACAAAGAATCAGGATTCCTCCTTGCTAGCTCTGAGCAGAAATCTCTTCAGATATTCAGAGGTATCCTCAACCCATGGTAAAGAGAAGTAAACTCTGAGGGCAGCAGTGAGCTCTGTAACCAGTATCCTTTAAATCAGCCCTCCTGCATCCCCTTTGAAAGGCAGCTAAGAACTCAGTTTGATACCTTAAGAGGAAGACAGGAAAGGAACAAGAGGCCCTGAAGTCTCTACTGTGTTACCCACTACTTATTGTAGTCTCTGCAGTGAACTTGAGATCAGCTTATCCCTTTAGCTACGTATTTCATTGGCTTCCACTCCTTAACTCCTTTAATTATGAGACAGAACTTAAAAAGAAAGAGTAAGTTAAAAATAAACAGCTTCTCCCCACTGCCTGATAATTTCCCTTTCTTGCTGCTGCTGAGAAAAAATGCTACGTGGGATCTGAGATAAACCCACTCACAGATAATTTCACTTCATACCTTGTAATGGATAGAAACTGTTACTGAGATTAGGATCTGCCATCCTTGAGACGATTTCATCTGCTCTTTAAGATGCAGCTGCTAGACAGAGGACAGATTAAAGAGCAGCAGAAGATACTAATAGCATCTAATATGAAGGTTTAAAAGCTTTCAACACAGATGACAAGGAACTCAAATTCTCTGTGTAACAGAAGACTGTATGTTAGCATCCTTCGCTCTCCTTACATGCTGCTTTGACTTTTGCTCAGGAAAACTACTCAGGAAGAACAGCGCTTTTCGTTAAACACACGAGATCTTTATCTGCACCTTTCCATCAAACAAAAAGAACTAGAGGAATTTAATTTTGAGATTAAAGCATTTCTCCTTCAAGGTCATGTCCAACCTGTTCTTCCTAGAAGTCTCTAAACCAGAAAACATGAATTCCAAGACGGTGAAGTATGAATGACTTAAAAGAAGGGACTTTCAGTTGGACTCTCTCAAACAGATTTTAAATAGTCATTCAGACTTTTACAATCTCACGGGCATCTGGAAAAACACCAGTTCTAGTGTCAGGTAAGGATAGAGGAACTTGGAGGATTACTTCAAAGGAGCTTGATGTGACTCCTCAGATTGCAAGGGTGAACATGCAGGGCAATCTATTTTTCTTTAAAATGTTTTACTGGATCTTTACAGTGGAAAAAAACCCTAATGGAGTCACAGTCTAAAACTCTTTTTGTTAGTTACCTTAGGGGGACTGGAGTCTTAAAAAAGCAATATGACGAAGTGAGCAACTCAGACAGTCAATACAAGAAGAGTGAAGGCTACTAAATTCCCTTCCTGCAGTTACCTGTATCAGCCCCAGAGGCTACATTCGCTCATTTACTCCACTGCAACCAACCTGAAGTCAGTGGAGCTGCACCACTGTAATTTAAAGATAATTTGCCATCAAATTAACCCCCTGCCCCATCACTCACTCACTGACTGCTTTCCAAAAATTACAGGAAAACATTAGCTATTCAGGTCCCTGCATTTGTGTCCCCAAACCAACCTTTCAGGAGCTGCTCTCTGAGCGAGTGCTTTCTGTGGCACTCAGATTTCAGCTTCCTCCTGCAGCTACAACTGCCCATGCCCCCGAACTCTCCTTCCCCAGTAACACTGACAACTTGTGAGCAGAGGTATCCCCTGAGTAACACAGCAGGAGGGCTGGCTTCTGACAGAAGGGCTGATGTGGGGCTCAGCTCTCCACAGCATCCCACCCATGCCCTGCCCTGCCCATGCTATTGCACCTAGAGAAACAACATTATTTTGCAGAGTTTTTGCCTCCTTACTTTGCTCCATCCACCAGCTTATCGCTACCTTGCAAACTGGACGGACAACCTCCATTGTTTGGGTCAGTGGTCTCTTGAGGACACAAGCTCTTAAACCAGTTCTCCCAGAACCAATTGCCCCTGCCCTGCAATTTTCAGCATTGGAAACAGACCACGATTTTGCTGTAACACTCACTACACACAGGCTCCTTCCTTACTGCACACCAGAGCTGTTCCCTCTGACCAATCCTCAACAAGAGCCGACATACTACACTCTCCCAGGAGAGACAGGACCTTCTGGAAGAGCCTGTCCTGGGGAAACATGGGGATTACACATGGTAGTTTCCTATCCCTATCCTACCCAGCACACAGTCACTGTTAGCAGCAAAGCCAGAGAAGAAGCTGAACTGGCAATGAAATCTAATAGGCAACACGCAACACTAGGGCCCATCTGTCTGAAAGACACCATTTGCTTCATTACTTAACTTTTTAACCTGCAGAATCTTTCATCATCTGCAACTGCAGTCTCTCTGCTTTACTGGAACATAAAATTAGAGTACACCAGCAATTCACAGCACCCAGTAAAGGACCTGGTGCTGGGTGATTCTGGGAAGCATGCACAGGTAATGACAGAAAAATAACAGGAAAAACAGAAGCAAGAAGAAATCAAGGTCTCTACACTGTCTTTTAAATCAGCACAGGAAAGGACAAGAATGCAATCAGTCAGCATCACCAGTACCTCGCTAAAGCCTCTCCAAGCCCTTAAGACAGTAATTAGCTACCACGACAGAGCAGTTGGAACAGCACTGATTGAATGATCTCAAATCAAGTAAAAGGCAAAAATCCACCCCAACAACCCCCAGGTTAAAATGCACTTGCTTCACACAGCAGCTCCATGCCATCACATGGCTAGGATGGGGGGAGGCTCTCCAGATCAAGCCTAGCAAGCCCTCACAGGACAGAAAAGTTAGGTGCTCCATCCCAGCTGTCCCATGCCAGAGGATGGAGCAGCCAGTCTATGGGGCATGTAATGCTGACCTCTCATCGGCGCTACTGCACAGACATGGCACAGGGGCACAGGGCAGCCAGGGACAGAC